TTTAGTTTGTTCTCAGTCACCCCTTCTGTTATTAACTGAAACCTGCTGAATGTGTCTGTTGATGGAAATAGCAAAATATCTTTGATCAGACTGAACAAGAATTGAATTGATAAGATAGAAAAAACGTAGCAAACACACATTTCTATCATTTCAGCACTGGACACAGGGCCGGCACAAGGCATAAGTGTCTGCTGAGGGCCCCAGGGCCACTAGCCTCCTAAGTGGAATTTATTATTTATTTATTTTTTTGTAATGATTTCTTTATGATTCTGTTTAGTATTTTAAGTTCAGCTTTTGCAAATTGTTGCATACATTTGCATAGTTTTAAGAACAAATTATTCAACTTTAAATTTCTTTTTAATCCATTTTACGTTGTTTCAAGTAATTGTTCGTTTACATTATTTATTTCCTTACTATTTTATTTTTTATTTTATTTAGTTTTGTCTGTTTTTTTGCACAAATTTAATTTATTTTTAAGCATCTAAGTTATTTTATCTGTTTGCTGTGGATCTTGCGCCACAAAATGTTTTGAGCATAACTGTTGCAGTTCTTTGGAACCAAATATAATAAACCAGACAACACTTTTGCTGTAAAATACATGGCATGCTGATGGGGGGTGGGGGGGTTCCTCTTCTTTTGTTACTTTTAGTCCCACTAGATCACGTGTCAAACTCAATGTCTGTGGACCAAATCCAACCCAAATTTCGCTTAGGGCCCCATGGAGGCTTGGGAAGGCACTGGCTGGACGGTATGTTTCTGCATTTAAATTACAACATGTATAGCATCACGTGTGTTAAAACCAACAACACTTTGTCAATGACTTGCTGATATTTTGTGCAGTAAAAGAACAATCTGAAGTAGTTGTCCAAAAAATACAGTATGTAAAAAAATGGGACATTCATGGCAGCCAGACAGTAAATTCCTGTCAGCCTTTTCTTTTTCTTTCTTTCTTTGTAGAAACAGTTCCATTTACTGTTTTGGTTTTGAAGAGAATGCCAAAAACTACTGAATGCTGCAGTCAAATTTAACAAATTGAAACATTTAGGAGTTTTAATCAAAAACCTTCCAGCATTAAGTAAGACTAAAGGTAACAAGAAAGACTGTCAAAGTGAATCATGCCCATGCAGCTTAACTCTCCAGTTTCTTGTTGGAGTTAAAAAAAAAACAGTCGACAAGTTCGATTTGGTTTGAGGATAAAGATTTGAGGAAACGCTGCAACACAATGTCCATGACCGCAACTTGACGTTTTGTCTTTCAGCTGCAAAATGCAAATATGTGACTACTGAGTTTGGATGCAGGCTAAAGCAGATTATTTCAAACTGAAATCCTTATGAAGTGTTTCAACAGTCTGCAGATTGGTTTAGTGTTGTGCTCTAACAGTGCTCACAAGCATGTTGCCAAAAGTTTATTAAAGCCATTTTCTAAGGGGCCGATGATGATGTGTATAAAAGGCAATAATAGAACACAGATGGTGAAACAGTGAAATATTAAATCCCATAAAGAACCTAAGTGACTCTGTGTAATCTACAGCTGCAGTCTGTGTGTTCAGATTCAGAATCTGAACCTCAATATGTATATATGTACAGCATATA